GTAACCCCATGGATGGAAACCATGGACCAACTGGAAATAGAAGGCAGCCTGGGCTTGCCTAGTGCCAAGTGCCATGCAGACCTGAGGGCCCGTCCCTGTATTTGCATCACAGAAGTTCCCCAGGACCGAGGGCTAGGTTTCCTAAATCTGGTCTACAACTTTGGGAAGGCTTCTGTGTGGAAGTCATAAGTGGCAAGAAAGCCCCTGTTAGCTATGGGCCCTGCCATCTCCGTCTACAAGGGGCCAGGGGCTTGGGGAGGCCTGGAAGTTTCCTCAGCCTTGCCAGAACTGAGGAGCTGGACCCAGGATGCAGGAACTTTCTCAGGCAGCCTGGGGTGGGAGCCAGGCCTCTCCGTTAAGCTAGGCTACCTCTACTCTGTCTCAACACTCACCCCCAGCATACCCTCTGGGCCCAGAACTTCTGGCAGTTACCCTCACACCCAGATCCTAAAATTTTCTGAAAACTTGGAGATTATGCCCCACCCCACACACACTCCTCAGCCATGCCTATGTCAATTTTGTGAATTAGGCAAAAGATATATGCGTGTCTGTCTGTCCAACTAGCCTTCTCCTTGTGTCTGTCCAGGGAATTTATTTCTAAGTCACATTTCTTAGTCACAGCTGAGATTAGAGCTGGTTTATTTCACCACTTAACAAAATGACTTTTGTTCTTTCCCTTTGTTAGTTTCCTTTTTCTTACTCAAAGGCAAACCAGTCATTACAGAAAATACAGATAAGCAAAAAGGAGAAACATATTAAATACACAAACCGTCCCCCCTACCCCAGGAGGAACACTGGTGAACACCTGGACAAGTGCTCCCCACAGCTCTCCTCTCTACCTAGGGGGATTTCAACAGAAGTGGGATGTCACCACACAGTGTGTTTATAGTTCTCTGATTTCTTCTACTGTTCACTTCCCTTACATGGTAATGAGTTAAAATTTAGCTCATTGTTTTTAAGCTTGCCTTGTTTTCCATTTTTTGGTAGGATTTGCTGGAGTTTAGGCTGTTTGTATCTTTTCACTGTTACAGTCCTCTGGACCTGTGTGTGTGTGTGTGTGTGTGTGTGTGTGTGTGTGTGTGTGTGTGTGTGTGTGTGTAAGAGGGAGGAGGAGGGAAGGAGAGAGGCTGAATCTGTCTGTCTTTTCAACAATGATGTCCTGAGGGGAGTGAGGGCCTTGCACAATGACCCTTTTTACTCCTTGGAACAAGTGGTTTCCTTTAAGGAAAGTACTTTTCCGGAAAACATGTTATTTCAGGCCCTCCTGGTTCCAGAATCCCGTCTGTCCCAGAGCAAAACACCACCCAGGTTGAGGAATGTGGAGAGAGAGCAGGGCAGGGTGGGCCCCTCCTCCTGATGGTGGAGCCGGCAGGATCTTCTCTCTCAGACAACCCTAGAAGGGTAGGAAGGGTTCTCACTGCCTCTGCACAACAGGGACACTGAGGCCTAGCAAGTTAGTGGAGGTGGGGTAGGCCTAGCCCTTTCCCCTCTGCCAGGTAGGGCAGGGTGGAACACCCCTCCCACCCTCATGGCCTCCTTGTCTCCCTGGGGTGGAGCTGGGAGGGAGGTCCGGGAGGTGAGGGGAAGGAAGCCTCTGCATTGAACTGAGAAGCACAGCCTCTGCACTTGGGAAGCCTTGGGGGGCCTCATGGGCAGGCTCAGATGAGGTATGTTACTCTAGAAGTCCAGCCCTCAGCAGACATTTTTCTGGGCTGAGGCTTCTTGGGCTGCCCATTAAGCATTAGCCCGGGTCTTCCTCAAAGATCCAGGTAGGAACAAGGCTTTGCTCAGGGAAACAGTGGACCAGAGGAGAGCTTGCTAGGCTGGACCTCCATGGAAAGGAGGACAGTCTGGCTCTGCTCCTGAGGTGCCTGCACAGCTGCACTGGAAGCTTTGACTCAAGTGCCTCAGTGCTGGCAGCTTAGCTCCCTACGCTGTGAAATGGAGCTGATGGGGCTGCCATATGGCTGATAAAATGACAGAATAGACTAGTGCCTGTAGCATAGTAGAGACCAATAAATAAGGGCTAGTAATAGTAGGAAAATACTGCATTTGGGAACTGGGAGGCTGGAGCTGAAGAGTAGCTCCCCATCAGATTTCCAGGTGACCTTGAGCAGTTCTTTCCCTCGCTGCCACCAGATAAAACCGACAGTACCAGGCTAAGTCTCTGTCCTTGCCCGGCCACTTCCCTCTCGTGGGGGTAGAGGCACTTCCGGTTGGCCTGTCCCTTTCCTTAGCACCACACTGAGGGATGACAGGAGTGTCGCGGGTACACACAACACAGCATGAACACACACACACACAACATACACATTCCCATCACGTATCACATAACATACACATTCACACCACACACACCCCACAACCTATACACTCATACACTATATAATATATACACCCCAACACACATGCACGCAAAACTGCTCTCACCAAGGTCGCGACCCACACATGTGGGGCAAAACCCAGGATTTCATCTCCATGTTCACTGTCACCAGCCCCCTGGAGTCTTTCAACCAGTTGACCCGCCCTCTCTGAGACCAACTCTCTCCCACACAGGATTGCCAGATAGAATACAAGGTACCCTGTCAAGTTTGAATCTCAGATAGACAATAAATGTTTTAGTATCTGCCCCAAATATTACATGGAACATATTTTTACCAAAACATCTTTGTTGTTTGTCTGAAAGTGAAGTTAACTGGAGGTTTCATGCTTTTATTTGCCAAATCTGGCAACCCTCTGCCCCACTTCTCTGCCCCATGTCACCCTACCTTCCGCCCCTTCTCCAGCTGCTTCTCCTCAGTCCCTCCTGTTTGTGAGAGTGCTCCAGGGGGGTTGGCCTTGACAGCCTTCTTGGCTCCAACTCCCTGCACTCCTAGATAGCTTCCCCCACCCTCCTGGGTCATGCACTGGGATGACTGTATCCATTCTTCCCGCACCTTGTCTCTGGCTTCTAGTGTAGGGACCAACATTCCCCTCTAGCAACACACTGGTATGTGTGCTTAGAGACCTGCCCAGCTAACAAGCAAGCTGCCTCTGCTGCTGCATCACGTTACCCAGAATGTGCTGATCAGATGAGGCAAGAAGAGCTGCCCTCGAGAGCTGGCCATTGTCCGACCTCGTCTGCTCATGCCAAGTCAAACTGAGCCACTTACTCCCTACTCCCAAGCATTCTCTGAACTTTGTTCACACTGTTCCCTCTGTCTGAACACCCTCCCCCAAATTCAGCTTGTTGAAGCACCCTCTTTACTTCAAGTCCTGTTCAAGGGCCACCTCGCCCCTGGTTTTGTCAGGTCTCCCTCACCTTGGGCACCTGAGTGTGTTATTTGTAGGCTTGTGCAAGCAACTAAATGGAGAGTTCATTGAGGGCTGAGACCATGTGTGGCTGACTCCCATGCCTCCTGGGCAGGCCCCAGGGCCACCCTGTACTCAGTCAGTGCTATTGAAAGGAGGAGTGAATGACTGAGTAGGTAAATGAGTGACCAGATGAGTGAATAAATGCATGGATAAACCAGGAATACTCAGTGAGGAGATGGGGTAGATGAGTGGGTGGATGTTTGGAAGGATGGAAGGATGGATGGGTGGGTGGATGGATGGATGGATGGATGGATGGATGGGTGGGTGGATGGATGGATGGATGGATGGATGGATGGATGGATGGATGGATGGATGGATGGATGGAAGGATGGATTGGTGGATGGAAGGATGGATGGGTGAACAGGCAGGTGGATGGATGGATGCATGAATGGATGGCTGGAGGATGGTAGTGGATGGATGGGTGGGTGAGTAGATAGGCAGATAATGAGTAAATAAGTGGATGAATGAAGAAATGAACAAATGAGGAAAACTTGGGGCTGAATGAGGTTGTCCCCACACCTGCACTACTTTGTTTTCAGTGATTCTAGTCTGCAGAGCCTCCTTCCACTGACCCAAAGAAAGATGTGAACACTCAATATGGGGGCAGAGCCCTAGGCCTGGGTTCTGACACTTGGGTCCAGGTAAAGAACACCTGACCTAGAGCAGAGCTGACTCTTCTTAAAGGCAGAGAAAAGTCTAGGTCCCTTCTCTTCTCTTTTCCCCGGTCTTGTACATTTATCTGTATTGACCTGAATTTGCATGCCCAGGTATTTCTTTATATATGGACAGCCTCACCCATCTGACTGGTCTGGTAGACTTGCACCACCAAGGCCCTCTTCAAGGAAAGGACCTGTCTCAGCTGCGGAGTTTGGTCTGAGGTTACCCCGGGGGGGCAGGGGGCAGCATGCTGTGACTAGCAAAGATGGGGGGATATTACGAGCCTCTATCAGGGCTTCCCTGGTGGCGCAAGGGGTTGTCACAGCACTATGAAGCTATCCACAGCCTCTGCAGCACAAGTTCGATCCCCAGCCAGGGAAGTGACCTACATGGTGCAGCAGACATCTCCTGTCTTGTCTGCTGCTCCCCTCAGCAGTGGATTTCAGTCAATCCGCCTGTTCTACTCACTGTTCTGTCTCTGGTGAATCCTCTCACCCCCTGTACCTCTGGTCTGTACCCCAGTTCTTGTATGCATAAATAAATAAATCCTTATCTAAAAAAAGAGCCTATATCACAATTTGACTTCTTCCTCTATCTAGTCTTGCTTGCTCTTGCTCCCCCTCACAGGTCTTGAGCCCTATAAACATCTTGCATCCAAAATTTTGTCTCAGTGTTCACTTCAGAAGAATACAACCTGCAATGGTTCCCTTCACTCGCTCCCAGGTCCTCCCTGCAACCAATTTGCTTCCATGCACATCTATGAAAGTCCTGCTTGGGGGGCTCTGGGATCCAGCATGACTCAGGTGTGATCCCCAGAAGCCCTTGTACCTTGGACGCAGATCTGCCCTCCCTAAACAACCCCCACCAGCCTGACTCCCCTTCAGCCCTCTGCATTGCTGCAGCCCCAAGCCTCCCTCTCTGAGAGTCCTTCCTGTGGCAGACACATGACCAGGGCAGCCTCTCCGGATATTCTTAGAGGCCAGAGCCCCTCAGGGTCAGCCCTGCCCCAGCGGCTTGGTCCTGGGAGAGTGCCCCATTGAGGGCTAGATGGACCTGCAAGCCGGACGACACTTCACAGCACTCTTGAAATACGGTACAGCATTTATTTCGTGGGCACAGAGAAAGCAGATTTTCTACTAATAAAAACTGAACATCTCTTCATTTGTGATGAAAATGAGCTTTGCTACATGCTCTCCGTGTAACATAATATCTTAACTTATTTGGAATAATCTTTCAGTTCATGGTTTTTCTCTCATTTCTAAGTGACTCAAGTCACTCACTCTAAGAATAGAAGTGACTTGTTACAGTAGGAAAGTCTCATTCAAAACATATTAAAAGTCTTCTTGTAAATAAGGCTTTGCTGTTGCAAAACATCTCATGCTTTCCGTGATCTTATTTTCTCTTGTTTCCTTTTGTGGCTTTTCAACTCTGATTCTTGGGAGACCCATAAAAGGATACACACTTTCAATTACAAAATAAATCACTGGTTCCCAGAAAGCAGCTTTTTGGTTTCACAATTTCAGGTCTGATTTCAGACACCCGGTAGGGGCCAGGCCTTGGCTGGGCTGTGAGCAAAGTGCAGATTCAAGTAACAAAAAAACTTAACTGGGGAAGCAGGTAAGAAGTGACACTGTGCACTTGAGGGCGCTGCTTCCCCTGGTGGCAATTCAATGAGTTTGGCAGCCATCCTCCAGTAACCTGAGTTCACCCAGACCCTGTTTACCACGGATTCCTGTGATATTAGGGCCCTGTGCAGGCCAGATGAGCCGGCCCACCGTTCAATCAGCATCATGTTTAGTCGCTTTTCAGATCCTTCCTAAGAACCCTCCTGTGGGCAGGGTCCAGCTGAGTTCTCAGAGGCCAGAGCTGACTCCTGCCTGGTCCCACCGTCTCCGATCGCCTGAGCTAGAAGTCACAGCAAACTGGGTAAGATGGCTGGGTGCCATTCATCCAGCTGGATGAATTGGCTGGACGCAGGACAGACAAGGATGCCAGACTCTGGGGAGTGGGATAGCAGGGAAGTCTTGCCTGGGAGTGGGGGAGGGGCAGGGTAGGTGAGTCTGAATCCACCAGCAGAACAAGTCTTGGGGGCCATTAGGCCTCACAGGAAGGTCCAAAAGTCCCGGGCACCTGTCACCGCTTGGGGGTGACGACCTGGTCCTGTGAAGAGAGACGCATCCTGGCGAAATGTGGCCACAGTGAAGCTATGGCTTGGATGCCCCTGAGGATCCTGGGCCCTTGAGTCACAACTGAAGCAGCAGAGGAGACAAGTGATGGCCACAGTGACTACAAATAGCACTGCCACCACCCCAATCACTGCCGTCTCCATGGCCCCACGTGGCAGCTGGCTGGGGGCCGCCTGGCGTGGTCTGAGAGTCCTAGCTCCCCATCTGAAACAGGGGCTCTTGGTGGTGGCGGGTACTCTGCTCCTCCAGCAGCTCTTCCGGTGATCTAAGAAGATGCTAGTCTGAGGCCCTGGCTGGTATCCCCTCTAGGTGCCCTCACATGGCACTCCCTGGCCTCTGCTGGTCTCTGTCACTGTTTTCTAAGCCTCAGACCAGGCTCCCACTGGTCTCCACGGACAGTTTCTGGCAGAAGCCTCATCCTGATCGACCCAAGCGCAAGACTCCTTGATGGGAGGGGCTGGAAGGAGAGAGCAGAAGACTTTGCTCAGAGGAAGCCTTGCTCTCTGGTGACGTCTACAAAAGTCAAGAGAGTTTATATTTTTGGAGAAGAGACAAAATAGACCCTCTCCTATGGATCCGAGCCATCTCCTCCCCTGGAGAACCTTGGGCCAGTCCTTGAACGATCCTATCTGCTGCTGCCCAAGTCCCTGGTTCCGTGCTGGGCAGAGACTGCAAGGGTACCAGTTCTGGCAAGGTGGGGAGCACTGCTGGGTCCCCACAAGTGCATGGGGCTCCCTAGGCAGGGCAGGGGGGCAGTTTCATTTGCCTGCTTTTCTGAGTGGGGTTGGGAGAGCGTTGTTTAGATGAGGCAGGACAAGTTGCAGTCTGGTGACTTCTCAGCCCCTTCCATGACACACCCTGGGACTCCGAGGAGCCCTCTTCACACTGGCTTCCCCCAACCCTCCCTGCTGCCTGCTCCACCCCCTGCTCACACTCCAACCTTGTGAATACTTACCCTGGGCTCCCAGGGTGACAGCTCTGGCTGTGCTTGGGGCCATGACCTCCCGACCTGGCTACTCAGGGCCAGGCCATCGCTTGCTCATCCCTGCGTGCTGCTGCCTTGGTCCTGCTTGGGGATAAGCTCTGAGCTGTCTGTGTAACTGTCAGCACTTCCTGAATGCAGATGTCTGAGAGCTGTGAGCCTTCCTCCAATTGTGAGAGAGGGCCCAGGACCCGCAGGGCTGCTGCCCCCTGGGTGACTGCACTTACCCCACCCCCCACCCCGGTGCACACAAGGTCATTCTGGCCCTGCCTCCACCAACCCCTAATCTTCAACTGCAATGTAGGGCCCCTGCTCGGCCCTCTAACCTTCTGCCTTGTTTAGATTTTCTTTTCTGAGTCTGAGATTTGCGGGTCCCTTACCCTTCTTTGATTCATCTGTGAACTGTGCCCTCTGGTCCAGCCTCATTATGGACATCAGCATATGCATGGAGGCTGTGTGCTTGAGGACAGGCACATCTGCTTCAAGAGCTCTTAGGGGTATTTGTGGACCTCACACTGATCATATGCAATGGACGGTGACCGATGTGACCTCTGAAGCCCAGGCCACAAAGAGTAACCCTTGATAAAGGTGGGTCGAGGTGAAAATGGCTTTCCAGCTCAGTCCCCTCACCCTGAGCCATCCCCAACTGCCCAGTCTGTGACCATGGCAGCGGCACCTTCAGAGAGTAGATGAAAGAGAGATATTAAGCTCTGTCCGTAATTCAGAGGTGTTTTTCCCCAGCTGTCACTCTTCTTATGTTTGTAATCCTGTGATGTGCAGCCCCTGCCCATGAGCCCCAGATGCTGTGGGGGTCCCAAAGATATCTGTCACTTAGAAGAAATGCCTGTGTCCTCTGAGCATCCATCATCATCAACTAATCAACAAAAAGACCATGGTCATCCATGCCACTGATACTCACAAGGAAGAGGGTAACAGCAGACCCCCTAATACAGATGGGAAGCTGGCTCTTCCCCTGGCTCAAGGCCACACTTAGGAAAGGCTGTTAGACTGACAGGGGCTCTGCATGGGGGGAGAGGGACAATGTCCAGGCCACCAGCAGGCTGCAGATATCCAGCTGCTCCACGCTTCCCGCCTTCCAGGCCCCCACACCAATACTGGGAAGGTGCAGCAGGAGAAGGTGCTCCCTCAGCGAGGCCACTGGAACCCAAAGGCCTCCCTGGCTCCTCCTTGCAGGTCCTTACTGCTCTCTTCAGTATCCCTTGGGCCCTAAATATCTACCAGCGCTTATTCCAATCTTATTTACTTTTCCAGAGAGCATGAGACTCTGAGAATCCGCCCTGAGCATCTTCTGTGTGAGCTGGTTGGGGGAGGGGGGATTGGGGGGCCTAAGGGAGGGTCTCAAGAAGCTCTCAGACCTTGAGGGCAGAGGGGTTTGCGTCCTTCCTGACATCTCTGGGGAAGAGAGTTTGGTCAGTGCTCCAACAAACGTACCAAAGAAATAATAAACTGGAAACCCACAGAAGAGGGAAACAAATTCTTCTAGGGCAAAAACACAAAGAGATCACATGTGGAAATGTCTGCTCCTCATTTCTTGGGGAACAGAAATACACCCATAACACTCTACATTAAAAAAAGGAGTTCTCAGGGCTGTCAGCCTTACAGTAGAAGTTGACTAGTAGCATATTTCTCCTACATAGAGGAAGAAAAAGTAAAGAGAAAAAAAAAGGGGGGAGGGGGAGGGTTTTTCTAGAGTCAATGACTGGTGCAGTGAGGGGAGGACCCAAGCCACAAAGATGGGACCCAGTGTGGGGGCCTCGAACACCCACCAGGAGGCAAAGACTTTATCCCAAGGTCAGAGAGGAGTATGGGCAGCTCCCTCTGGCTGCCTTATACAGAAGCTGCAGAGAGGGACGTGGCTGCAGATGGGCAGCCCTGAGGGACCCCACACGAATCTGGCTAGGGGCAAGCTAGGGCAGGACTCCGGGCAGGACACTGCAGAGATAAAGTCAACAATACACAGTGACCTACGGCCTGCTTCCCAGCCCAGAAATCTAGGGTGGCTGTCAATGTGAATTTCCCTCCCTCCGGCTCCCCCACAAGGTTCCCCACCACCACCACCACCACCACCACCATCAGGCCTCACAGAAACTCCACCAGGAAATAATAAAGAAACAGGACATTCTGTTCCAGTGAGTCACCAGGTCCCTGCTTTCCGCCTATCCTGGAGCCCAAGCCCTTCCCCACCACCGCGCCTGGCGCCCCAGCCTCTCCTCCCTCTACTTCCAAGCCCCACTCACAGGCACAGGCTAAAGGCTTCAGAACACGGTTTCCTTCCTCCCTGTGAAATCCTGCCAGCTGTTGTTGGGGTGTTTGGGAATATGCCTCCCTACTGTCAAGAAGGGGTCTCTGTTATCCATTCTACTTTAGGGAACAGGAAACTGAGACCCTAAGGACACAAGCCCTTTTGCAAGACCACCCAGCATCACTTCCTCCAGTTTAAGGAGCTCCACCCTTCCCTCCCAACCCCAGCACCACACACACAGACACCAGGGGGTGCAGGCTGGCTAGAGACTCGAGGCTTGAATGAGAAACTGTGACCCAATTTCCAAGAAACAGTGACTTCAACACAGCCCACAGATGGGGTTTCTGCAGGCCTGGGCTGGGCTTGAAAGAGCACTGTAGGGAGAGACCTGGGGCCCAGCCTGGGCCGCCTCACCTCTCCTCTCTCTGAGCCCCTGGACTGTCCCACGGAAGCCCAGAGCCCCCCTGGATGGCAGAGAGCATTCTCTGGGCAGGCTGCATGCAACCCTAAATCCTCCCTCAGCACTGAGGCCCCACACCCTTCTTACCTATGGTCCATGGAGCTCTGCAGCACCCACCCAGCTTCCCCTACTGCACAGGCAGCCCTCACGCCCCAGGCAGAAGCCACCTGCTCCAGGCACTCACTTCCCATCAGAGAGGGAGGTCCCAAGCAGGCAGACACAGGCCTGGAGGCTCCCTCCCTCCCACTTGAATTGTAATCAAGAGACTCTTCATAGAACTCTCTTGGTGGTTTAGATTTTCTTGTATTAACGCACCAATGAATTGACCATGCAGCCTCATACTGCCTTCTCCAAACAAAAGAGCATTCCCAGGCCCCTCCCAGGTAGCCCCCTGGCTAGAGGCCTGAGGATGTCAGAAGACAGCACTTCATAGACCAGGCAAGCACTGGTGCACTGGATGAACAGGCACTTCCGGGGCCACCAGGAGTTACAGTCATAAGGTGGTGTCTGTCCCCACAGCACCACCCTGCTCTTCCCCTCACTCATCTGCATGCACTGTGCCACCCCCGGCACACCTGCATTCTCTGCCTTCAGGGTTCACAGGGTAGAGTTTGCAAATGGAGTCTGAGCAGGACCAGGGCACAGTACCGAGCCTTCACCCCAGAGAGACGTCCTGCATGGGAGCATCGGGGTCCACTGGTCCTGGCGATGAGAGGGCAGGCGACGGTTACCATCCTCAGTCATCAGTGGTGTCCCCGGTGGGCGTGATGGTGGGCGTGGTGGTGGGCATGGTGGTGGTGGTGGTGGGCGTGGTGGTGGTGGTGGAGGCCTGCGTGGTGCATGTGAGACACATGGCCAGGACGATGGGGGTGATGAAAACGTCCCGGTAAGAGCCAGGGATGAGCCCACCGGACTCGGTTTCTCCTTGCAACCGGCCGGTTCCTCTCCACATCAGGTTCCTGATGGTCGTGGTCCAGGCAGGTGGCCAGCAGCAGCAGCAGCAGCAGGACAGCCACAGCAGCACCTGTGATCAAACCCAGGAGGGTCGTGCTCCCCAGGAGGCCTAGCATTTGGGCTCTGGACAGTCCCTTGCTCTCAGCAGCTCCTACAGCTTCCTCCCCTTCGGAGGCCTCTGCTCAGCCCTCACAGTCACTGGACTTTGTTTTCTCAGCCTCTGCGGGCTGGAAAGCAGCCAGGGAATGTAGGCGCAGCCCGCCTGGAGCCGCAGGCCAAGGGCAAGGCCAAGCAACTGCTAACTCTGGGAAGGCCACAGGGAGCTGGATGGGGACAGGGGTGGACAGGCAGGGCTGTGGAAGGAAGAATCAGAGGCAGGAGTTAAGAGGTTCTCTGGCCACTCTCCTCACAGCCCGGCTGAGGGGCCAGGCCAGCCCCTGACCCTCCCTGGGTCTCAGCTCTCTCCTCTTCTAAAAAGAGAAGGGCACAATGGTTGACAGTGTGGATTCTGGAACCACACAACTCACTAGCTCTGTGACTATGCAAAGTTGCCCTTTTCTGTGCCTCAGTTTCCTCATCTGTAAAATAGCTAAAGAATATCTTCCCTCCTAGGGTATTCTGAAGACTCTAGGAGTTAAGATTTATAAAACACTTAAACAAGTTGCTGACAAGTTTATGCTGTTAAAAATGGGGGAAAAGGGGGCCTGCCTGGTGGCGCAGGCAGTTGAGCAGGGCGCTGTGAAGCTGTCCGCAGCCTCCGCAGTACCCATTCGATCCCCACCGGCCCACGGAGCAATCCACATGGCACAGCAGACCTCTCCTGTCTCGCCTAGCTGCTCCCCTCAGCAGTGTATTTCAGTCATTCTGCCTATTCTGTTCCCCACTCTGTCTCTGGTGAATCCTCTCACCCTTCAGCGCATCTGACCTGTACCCTGGTCCTTGTATAAATAAAATAAATCTCAAAAAAAAAAAAAATAGGGAAAAAAGCAGACCCAACCTGGAGTCCTTCATGCTGGCCCTGCTCACCAGCAAGGAGGGTCTTATCACGCAGGTGACTATGCTGGTGTTGATTAGAAAACACCACACCAATTGATTTCGGGTTAAGGTTTGGGAGAGGTAGAAACTGCCATGGATATTAAATATGGGCAGGGCCAACACCAGTGTAGTCACCTGCCTGATAAGACCCTTCTTGATGGGGCCTACCGGGTGGCACAAGGGGTTAAGTCGCAGCGTCATGAAGCTATCCGCAGCCACTGCAGCACAAGTTTGATCCCGGGACAGGCAGGGAACTACCCACATGGCACAGCAGACCTCTTCTGCCTCGACCGCTGGGTGCTCCCCTCAGCAGTGTATTTCAGTCTGCCTGTTCTGTTCCCCACTCTGTCTCAGGTGAATCCTCTCACCCCCTGCACTTCTGGCCTGTACCCCAGCTCTTGTATGCATAAATAGATAAATCTTAAAAAAAAAAAAAAAAAAAAAGACCTTCTTTGTTTCCCCTGAGGGAAGGTGGCTTTACCTGAAATTGAGGCAGTGAAACAGAACAGATCTCTCTTTCTGTCACATAAGATAAGCATTCCTATCTGCTGCATTTAACAAGCTTGTCTTCTTGCATTCTAAGAAAAAGAAAGGATATCCCTAAGAGGATAATAAGGAAATTAAACAGCTAAGGAGGGCCCCCTCCTCCCCAAATCTCCATCTGCCTGCATCTAAAGGTCAAGCGAACCTCGACCATCTCGTTTTTTTCACTTCTTTGTATAAACACCCCTCCAGGAGTCTGGTGCCTTCCTCAGCTTGTTCACAAATGAAACCACTTTCCTTCTCCTCAAACTCTGTTTCCTTTCATTGGCTGCGGAACCTAGGCCAGCGCTCAGTAACAAAATAATCTTTCTTAAACTAGTAATCTTGCCCCACCCTCTCTCTGTCTACAAATACCCTGCATTTTGTAAGCCCTTGCAGTATCTAGGCATCTGGACAGGGTGCTGCCTGATAGAAACTGCCTACATCTGGATGGGGTGCTGCCTGATATGAATCATAAAGCCCATTAGATCTCTAAAATCGTGCATTTTGTTTTTGAATACCACTGTTAATCTTGCAGTGGAGTTTGGACTGGATGACCTGGAAGATCTCATCAGCTGAGGATCTGTGGCTCCCTGGCCTGCAGCAGGGACTTCTGGAGCTGAGGCTGCTTCTGTGGAAGGATCTTCATGAGCTTGGTGGGAGCAGCAGGGCATATTCCCCAATCTCCAGGGAGGCGGAGCAACAGTTTTTACGCCTTGCATCCTGCAAGTTTCGGAGCCAAGAGGGCCTGGGGGTCAGCCCATAGCTACAGGAGGCAGGAAAGAGGCCCTGAGCTCAAAGAGACCAGGCTCCAGTCCCAGACTCCTGCTTCCAAGTTCAACAGTCTGGCCATAAACAGCAAGCTCACTGCACCCTCACGCTGCCTGCCCCTCACATGCCATTACTGCTTGGGGAAGAATTTATAGAGTGGGCAGAAACTGAGCAGTCCCCTGCTCCTTTGGCCTCCTTATGCCCCATCCTCTCTGTTCATTCTAGACAAGCACTTTTCCATGCACCACACTGACCTCAGGGACAACTCGTGCTCTTCCTCGATAGCACTCTCTCTAGGCTTATTAGGCTGTTCTCAAACTCCTCCTCATTGTGGCTCTGGCTCCCCAAAGCCTCATCTCTGCATCTCCATCCCTGAGACCACAGATGCCAGGGCGGCCTTCCAGAGAGTCCCTGCCCTCCCCCAAGAGTGTGCTCCTCTCCCAGCCACGAGGAAAGTTCCAGCAGCCAGTCTCCCCACTTTGTGCAAGCCCCTCCCCTCACCCAGTGGACTTCCTGCTTGGGAAAAATGCCAGGACCAGAGGACACCTTCTGGGACCTTCGTCTGTGACCGGGCTCTCTGCTCTCTCCAGGAGGCCTCAAACCCTTAGTGAAAAGCTTCTCTGGATTAAAAGGCCAAATATTCCCTTCAACCAAATTGGGCTCAGGGGCAGCAGGTCTAATGAACCCTGGGTTTTTGTTTTTGTTTTTTTAATGAAGTAATAATTTTTATTTATTTGTTTGTTTGTTTGTTTGTTTGTTTATACAAGCACTGGATACAGTCAGAAGCGCGGGAGGGTGAGAGAATTCACCAGAGCCAGGGCAGGGAGCAGAGCAGGCAGACTGATGAAATACACTGCTGAGGGGAGCAGCGGGAGGCAGGAGAGGTCTGCGCACCATGTGGGACCCTCCTCCGGTGGCCGGGGAGCAGCCGGGGATCGAACCAGCACCGCAGAGGCTGCGGGCAGCTTCGCAACCCAGCGCTCAACCGCTGCGCCACCGGGGAGGCCCAACCCTGGGGTTTTTGCCCTCATAGGGGAAAGCCACTTGAACTTTTAATGATACTGGAATGAGAACTCCCTCCTGTGGTTTTTGAGGTCCTGGGAGCCCAGCTGTCATTCCTGGAGGCCTGTTAAGGAGGGAAGTCTGCTGTATGGAGGACAAAGGTAAACAGAACTTTCTTCTTTTTCTAGAGCTTCTCCAAGGAGACCCCACACACACACACCAGCCAGGGAGGGTGCAAGGCCCTCCACCTACAGAACCTGTCAGCACAAATGGCCTCTTGGGACCACCCATACCCAGCCCTGGCTGAGGGTTGGAGAAGAGAAGCCAGTGCAGAGAAGGGATTGGCCGAAGGTTCCCCAGCATTGTGGCTACTCTGTGCTGCTGGTAATCAAGACAGCTCTATTCCTGGAGCAAGGGGGACATCTGAGGGGGAGTGTGACATCAGCTGGGACCTCCCACGGAGATAAGCTGGAGGAGGGTGTGTGTGACTGAGAGGGCAAGGATTAGGGGAGAGCCCCTCACCCTCCTCTCACACACACATGACGTTTATATTTCTTAAGTGCGGGGTCACTGCCCAACTGGACAGAAGGTAGGTCCCCAAGGTGGGCATTTGAGCGTTGGACACTCAGGGGAAGGTGTTGAGAAGATACTGAGAGATTCTGAGAGGCCTGGTTGGACACAGGACTTACAGGACTGATGACTTCGGAAGCAGGCGCAGGCATCTGGAGTCAACTCCCTCCCTCAGAAAGCTGTCCTGCGGCACTGGCCACAGGGTGTGATGTTCTGCACACTTCACAAGCAGCCTTCCCAGCTGTGGGACCAGAGTTCCAGGCCACAAGGCTGACAGGTCAACCTTTTGGAGTCCACATCGGTTATCTTCATGTCCATAATTTCCAGGGTGCACAGGCTTATGCATGTATTGATTTGCACACTTGTGTGTACTCATAAATCGACATTGCTCTGTGGGTAAACTTACGTATCAAAAACTGCCAATTCTTGGCTTAAGATTTAGAGATTAAAATGTATGAGAATGAGCACACACTCATGCACATGTGCACAAGTGCATACAAGTTCTATACAAGTTCACAAGTTTGTGCTTAATACGTCTTACAGGTGAGTAGTCTTTGGTTGTCTGTGGAGGGCAACCATTGTTTCCACTGATTGGTGGCACCACCTAGTGGTAGTACAGTAAATTGATCCTTTCCACATTCTGAGTTGCCAAAAGTGATGGTGTCCTGATTTTTGTTTATAATTTGAATCTATGCATTTAACTCCTCTCCACTCCAAATTATGATCAGAAACTTTAAGAAATTTCCTCAAGATATAGTGCAGGTGGAACCATATTGATGAAGGCATTGACTAAGGAAGAGCATCGCTGGGAATTCTCCACAGCACCTATGTCCTATGATAGGCAGGACTAGGAAAAAGAATGAAGTGGGTACAGTCAGGACACAAGTCGAGCGACTTTAGGAACTGCGCAAGTAACTGCTTGCAGATGATTGGCTAAGTCTCAGCCCTTCTTTTGGTTTGCACAGAAAAGCAGGGACGTTAGCCACTAGGTTCCTTACCTGGACACTCAGGTCAGATAGACAAGGGAGACACTTCTCCCTGTAAACTGGGGCTGCCTCAGTAAATACTGAAATGAAGTTGCCCAGCTCTTCTTAAAGGCTTTCCCTACCCTGACCATGGACAACGGGAACCCCAATCTAGAAAACCAAGCATAAACAACTGGCATTTTCTTTCTTTCTCCATTGCCTGGAACCAGCATAATTGAAATTAATTTGCATAGTATTTTATAGAACCATTTCAGATTCCAGTCCCAAACATAGATCTAGGTCATTCTGTAAAGTAAGCAAATACAGAAAAAAATACTAGACATACAACAAAAGATACATAAGGAATTTTGTCCTTTACTAGAATCTTAAAAAAATAGCAAACATCCCAAATTCATACATGTCCACAGATAAATTTGGCAATTTTGGTCAATTCATGTATGAATTTAGGAAAACTTACAAAATAAAAAATTTACTTTTAGATTAAAAACTAAATCAGGAAAGACTGCTTTGAAAATCTCCCCCATAACTCTGAAAAGGAGAATAAAGAGATTGGGGGAGGGGGCTTCCCAGGAAATCAAATATACTCATATAAAAGATATTCTAGAAGTAGAGAACAGAACCCATACAACCATTAAAGAAATAAAAATGTCTGACTTGAAGAATAAAGTCCTTCAGTGAAAGCCCCACTGAGTACTAGGTAAACTGTTTGAATAGGTCAGATCAGACCATCTAGAAATATCAGGTGCAATTTTAACATTAAAAATTTTATGTGAAAAAATGTATAAAGGAAATCAAAATGGTAGTTACTATGGAAACAGTTTTGCAGTTTTTTACAAAAATAAACACACTTTATCATATGGTTTAACAATCACATTCCTTGGTATTTACCCAAAAGTTTAAAAATTATGTCCGCACAAAAACTTGCACACAGATGTTTATATGGTGGAGACCAGCTCCAGCTAGAAGTCGTGTCAGGGGTCTCAGAGAGGAGAGGATGGCGTCGGCCAAGTTTTCTCGAAAGACTGAGGGGAAGTGGAGCGAGGGAGAAGTGGAGCAAGATACAGAGATGAGGGTCTCAGTGGGTCTTTATTTATACCTTAAGGCAAGCGGTGGGATTACATCAGCATAAGCATTGAAGCAGAGCAAAGATAATCAATACACATTTTTTCATGATCATGTAAAGACTCCCTTGGCCTTACACCTGTAGGCCATTTCTCTGGTAACCTAAGAACAACTGGTTTCCTTGGCTCAGCTCATTTTCCAGCATAATCAATTATATATATAAGTGTAGAGGGCAGGAATGGACCACAGTGCAGGTTTTCTGATCCAGCAGACCGGGTAAAGGAGGAGTCAGAGGCCTCAGAGGCTTTTTGCAGGTCTTTTATTTAGATTGACCAGACATACGCCAGGCAGGGGTGCTGGGGGGCCAGGAGGCTGGCAGTCCTCCCAGCCCCCAGCAAGTCTTCATTCTATCTGGGCTCTCCGGCCTTCTCTCAGCTTCTGCTTCTCTTGCTTCTCTCTTGGCTTCTGCTGGCGTCCCCATGACGCCGCCCTTAAAAAGCACAGTCTTAGCCCAGGTGAATCCCATCTACCTATGCCCACACCCTACTCCAGGTGTCCGCCATCAGGCATGCATTCAGGACCGCAAGGATCCATCATCTATCCTGATGGCGGAGGGCAGAAAAGCCTGACATTTTTCCTTACCCTACAATATGACAGCACACTATATGGCAATAATTAAGCATTCTATTAAACTTTGTTAGTTTCAGAGTGGGTGAAAAAAGTCTTATTCTATATTCTATTACTAAAATCAACCTATATCCTAGTATAAAATTAACTTGGCTAATTTATTACTTCAAAGTGGCTTTAAACAACTTATCAAGTCTATCCTAGTTTTACTGAAGTCTAACTCTTAACTAGAAATTCCTAACCTCCACACAGCCTGTGAACTATTGACCTCTTGCATACACCAGGAAATGTACTGCTGCCGCAAGCATGCACCCCCTGTATTAGATTATGGCTTCCAAGCACAGCTGGTTTAGGGCAGCTTGTTCTCCATAGTTCTCAGGGCCAGAACATTTCTTTCCTAGCTATACCTTTAGCATTTTGCACTTTCTTTGATACTGATTCAAGTGTAAGAATAACAAATCAATTAATGTCTAGGTCCGAATTGGGTTTTCACATGCCAATTAATAACTTACTAACTTCTGCATTAACCAAGAACAAAGAGGAGAGCATTAGCAGGCATTGCCATGGAGACTCCCTAGTTCAGATCTTCTTTGGGAAATGCAAGAACTCCCCTCTTCTGGGAAGTACAACTTTCTCTCTTTGGGGGAGCACAGGAACTCCCCACTTCTTGGGAGTCTCCCCCAATGCCCGGACCATTTCAAGAGACAGCATGGGAGGCACAGCCTGCCGCATTTATAGCAGTTTTACTTAAAATGGCCAAATTTTGGAGGCAACCAAGATGTTTTTCAGTAAGTAGATGGATATATTGTGGTATATCCAGAAAATGGAATGTTATTCAGTACTAAAAAGAAGCTATTAGTCCTTAAAAAGACATGGAGGAATATTAAATTCATATCATTTGTTGAAAGAAGCCAATCTGGAAAAGCTAATACTGCATGATTCCAACTATATGATATTCTGGAAAAAGCAAAACTATGAAGACAAAAGGATTTGTGGTTTTCGGGACTACTGAGGAGGGAAGGATAAGTAAGTGAAACAAGAGGATTTGGTGGGGGGCAGTGTCTTACTACTTTGTAAGACACTGTAATGGTGGATGCATTTGTTTTAAAAACCCTAGAATGTACACCACCAAGAGTAAACCCTAATATAAGCCACAGACTTTGGGAGATGTGTCAATGTACCACTGCAGTGCCAGATATTGCTAGTGGGGGAGGCTGTGCATGTGTGGGAACAGGAAGCATATGCCAGATCTCTATACCTTCCACTCAGTTTTTCTGTAAACCTAAAATTTCTTTTTATAAAATAGTCTATTTAGGGCCTACGTGGTGCCAAAGGGGATAAGTCTCAGCTCTCAGCACTTTTAAGCTATCACCAGCCACTGGGGCCTGTGTTCAATCCCTGGCCAGGGAGCTGACCCACAATGGCTTAGCAGACCTCTCCTGTCTCACCTGCTGCTCCCCTCAGCAGTGTATTTCAGTCAATCCACCTGTTCTGCTCCCCATTCTGCCTCTGGTGAATTCTCTCACCCCTGTACCTTTGGCCTGCACCCCAGTGCTTGTATGCATAAATAAATAAAATAAATCTTTAAAAAAAAAGTCTATTTAACAAAAAGTTTTCTTTTAAATCCTACAAACAAGAAATGTTTTAATTGTTTCTGAGAATAAAGAAACCCTCATTTTTTTAATGAACTCAAAAAAAAAAGGAGACTCTCTTAAGGCAATTAAAAAGAAAAATATACCAAACCAGCAGTCAACAATATGATTAATATGTAAAAATATAGGTGTTCCCCAAATATTGATGAAATTCATATGGAGCCACCAAAAACCCCAAAGAGCCAAAGCTCTCATGAAAAAAAAAAAAAGAAGGGAATGGAGGCTTCACACTCCCAGATTTCAAACTATACTACAAAGCCATAATAATCAAAACTACATGGTATTGGAACCAGAACAGACACATGGACCAATGGAACTGAATAGAAAATCCAGAAATAAAACCACAGATTTACGGTCAACTAATCTTTGACAAAGGAGGAAAGAATATGCAATGGAGCAAAGAAAATTTGTTCAATAAATGGTGCAGGGAAAACTGGGTTGCTACATGCAAAAGAATGAAGCTTGACTACTACCTCCCACCACGCACACAAACCAACTCAAAATGGATTTAAAAACTAGACATAAGACCTGAAACCATAAAATATATAGAAGGAAATATAGGTGAAACACTACATGATATACACCTCAGCAACATCTTTAAAGACTCATCACCCAAAACAGTGATAGCAAAGGCAAAGATAAACAGCTGGGACTACATCAAATTAAAGAGCTTCTGTACAGCAAAAGAGACGGTAACCAAAACAAAGAGACACCCCACAGATGGGGAGAAAATTTTCGCACACAACACTAATGACAAAGAACTGATCACAAAAATCTACAAAGAGCTGAAGAGACTCAACAAAAACAAAGTCAATAATCCAGTCAAAAAATGGGCAGAAGAGCTTAAAAGAAACTTCTCCAAAGAGGAAATGCAAATGGCAACAGGCATATGAAAAAATGTTCAGCATCACTTGTAATCAGGGAAATGCAAATCAAAACTACAATGAGACACCATCTGACACCAGTGAGAATGAAACATATAAAAAAAAAAAAAAACTAGCTACAACAAATGTTGGTGAGGATGTGGAGAAAAAGAAACTCTTCTGCACTGCTGGTGGGAGTGCAAACTGGTCCAGCCACTATGGAAAGCTGTGTGGCAATTCCTCAATCTGCTAAAGATGGTTCCATATTATCCAGCAATTCCACTCCTAGGTATTTACCCAAAGGACACAGAATCGTTAATTCAAAAGGGCACCTGCACACCTATGTTTATAGCAGCACTATTTACAATAGCTAAGCTATGGAAACAACCCAAATGCCCAAAAATAGATGACTAGATCAAGAAGATGTGGTACATATACACCATGGAATATTACTCAGCAATCAAAAAAGATAAACTCATGCAATTTGCAGTAACATGGATGGCGCTGGAAGGGATCATACTCAGCAAAATAAGCTAGAAAGAAAAAGAAAAATACCGGATGGTCTCACTCATAGCAGGAATTTAGAAAACCTAAATAAGAGACCAGGAAAAAGACTATAATAAAGTAAAAATCAAAATCAACAACCAACTATAAACCAGAGACACACTATGGTGGGGGGAGGGGAGAAGGGATTAGGGTCAAAATAAGGGGACTATAACCAAGATGAAAATGCATACATTGTGCAAAAATGAAAAATAATGTAAAAAATATATAAAATAAGGTAAAAAATATAGGTGTTCCCATTAAAATCAGAAACTAGCAAGAATGTCTGTTTTCAGAACTTCAAGTTAGCTTAGAACAATACATCAGAACATAAAATAAAAGAGAAGTACTGGACTATATAACTACATCTCTAAAAATCTTAAAGAATATGCTGGAAATTTAGCTACATGAATAAGAATTTAGTAAAGAAGTTCATTTAAAAATAAAAACACAGCGCTTGCTTTGACAACTGATAGACCAAAGCTGAAATGATATGGAGAAGATCTGCTTGGCCCCTGCCCAAGGTTGCCACACAAATGCCAGAAGTGGCCCTAGTTGTTGATTACTGGAAGGGAGGGGCAGGGCAATGGGAAAACTGGGTAAAAGGGATCCTTGTATAATGAAGGACAGAATGAGACTTCCAGTCCTTCACGTGTAGTGTATACAAGTGTTGATTTTTGATGATGCACACTTGAAACAATAAAAAATATAAAAATACAAAAAGCAGGGCCTTTGCTACATAATGGTAATAATTCTAAACATAATGAAATAAAAGCATCATTGAAAATTGGCAACAAAATAGGTGGAATTTGTAGGAATAAACAGAACAAGAATACTAGTAGCAGGGAGAAAACATTTTGCAGCGGGTGTGAAGAAAGCCCCACAGAATTGAGCTGACACAGTGCATCCAAGCCTCGTATCATCAGCAAATACTGAACCCCTGATTCATTAAATACAGTGTTGCATGGGATGGAAGTAATTTTTTTGATCCAAATACATATGCCTCTTCCTAATTGGCCAAGGCATCCACCTGGAGAGAGATTTGTATTATTATAGAAAGAATATACAGAAAAGGCACCTTTTAGGGTTAATATGCAATCTTTGACATTCAAAATAGGCCTTTGCCTTGCCAGTCAAACCATATTCCTAAGAAGGTTTTCTAATTTTTCTCCCTTTCAACGTACAGAATCCAAAACTAAGCTGAGGACCCAGTTCACGATCTCCCCCACAATGGAGGAAGCGACCTCGTTGCACGTGAAAACCAAGTAGCAGGGTTTGAAGCTATAAGGTCTATGAACATCCTGTTACCCAGACTTCTCCTCCTCTCTTCTGGACCAAGTGGTGATGGACAGTAGGAAGGAGAGAGAAGAGAAATGAAGTATGAAAGAGGTGAGGCAGCTCCTGGGGAATTTCAAAAAGCAGAGGCAAGACTGCAGGCGAATGGGAGTAGCTACTGATAAACTGAGACATTAGTGTTATCTTATCTGGATTGTCTACAAAATCCAGGACTACGTGAGTATGTGACCTCATCTGTAAAAAGGGGGCAGGTAGTGTCGGGACTGTTCCTGTTGCCGCTCCAAGCACAGCTGCTACCAGTCGTTCTCACTGGGGTGAGATCTCACTCTGGTTTGGATTTGCATTTCCCTGATAATGAGTGATGTTGAGATTTTTTTCCCCATGTCTTTGTGGCCCATCTGTCCTTTCAGGTCTTTTGCCCAATTTTTGGTAGGGTTGTTTGTGGATTTTTTGTTGTTGTTGTTGTTGAGTTGTAAGAGTTCTGTATTTTTTAAATTAACCCCTTTTGGACATGTGATATGCAAATACCTTCTCCTGGTCCATAGGCAGCCTTTTTGTTTTTGTAGTACAAAACATTGTACAAAAGCTTTTTAGTTTTATTAGTCCCACATCTTTACTTGCTTTTGTTTTCTTTGGTATTGGAGTCAAGTCCCCAGATATATCTCTGAGCTTGAATAGCACTGTTATTTCTGTGGAAGCAAGAACAACGAGCCTCCTGGGGGAGTGAATCACATAGCCCAATTACACATCTCCATAAGGGCAGACAAACACCCCAAGACAGTAACACCCAAAGGCTTGGCTCCCAGCAGGAAACCCATCTGATTATGAAGACTGTCAACGGTAAGATTCAATTACCCCAACCTAATTAGCCTCTGAAGCCTGTCCCCAGAGTTCAGAGTGTCACCCTCCAATATCAGGCCTTACAAGCCACAGGAATAGAACCTCTCTGGAGGTGATGCCCAGTGAAAATCAATTGCTCATTTGGTCTGATCTCAGGGGCTGGTGCTATGAGAGATGGACAGAGTGAAAGGTGTTTCACATATCTTGGTTTGCATTTACTATTTCTAGGAATGATGATGGAGGGGTGGAGTTGTTACTGAGAGGATACTCGCTGGGCTTGGTGGCTCCCCCTTACTCAAAGGACTTTTGAGTCTCCGGTTCAAGCAATGACAATTGCTGATGCTGTTTGAGGACAATTAACTCTGATGTCCGCTACTGGGACCCAGCCACTTGGTACTAGACAGTCGCTGATGGTTACCTCAGGGACTGTGCTTGGGTGTAGGCTAGAGGGGCGGAGGGTGAGCGGTTTCAACAGAGACAAGAGTGGGAAGCAGAAGACAGGTGGATCTACTGAAATACACTGCTTGAGGGGAGCAGCGGGCGAGACAGGAAAGGTCTGCTCCTGGGTTTCTCTCTGACCAGCCTGGGATCGAACTCGTGCTGCAGAGGCTGTGGATTGCTTCATAGTGCAGTGCTTAACCTGTTGTGCCACCAGGGAGTCTCCTGCACTTGCATTTTGGTCATGGACTGGTTGACACAAATGCAGGTGAGACTCGTGGGTAGGTGACAATGGTAGTTTTTGTCTTGATTTTGATTTTGCTCTTTTCCTCCCTGACTTGCCTGGTTGTTTCTGATCCTTTTCTGTGGGTCCCCTCTGGAAGATGCTTTAGACTTATGGCAGGCTTTGGGGCCTTGTTCTGGGCCAATCCTGCTTGGGTGGACTTTTACCCACGAGGGGACGGGTAACTTTGGGTGTTCGATTTAGAAACTATATTCTTTGCCTTTCCTGTATTGTTTCCTAATTGTATTAAAATTCCTTTTCATTGAAGTCTCATGTGTTTTGTGTTGATGCAGCAGATGGCAGAACCCATTTAGAGCAGGCAAGTTTGCGGGGTCTGGGGTGCCCCTCTCCCTGCCCTGGAACAGGATTCTGAAAGAATAGATTCTTTTAAAATAGATTTGGTCTTTTCCTTCAGGGGATCCTACCAGTGAGAAGCCAGCCGAGCCCTCAGTAGCAAGGTAGACAGCCACATGCCTGGGTGCTCAGACCTGATGTCCAACAGATTTCTAGATCTATAGTCCAGCTGCCAGGGTTCTGTGCTTGGGCCTGAGTCCTGGGATCCAGGGCTTCACAGATATTCCAGCCCCCACCCCTGTGAGAAAGAAGGGTTTATCCCAGAAACGAAGGGAGAGTTCAACATTGGGAAAAATGTATATAGGTGGACATCGCTCCAAAAACATGTTAGAAGGAGAAGAGATGTGATCAGGACAGCTATGAGCAGCTATGTTCAGGACATAGTAAAAGACCTGGATTTATGGAGAAACAAATAATGCTTCTGAATGAGAAAACTCAATTTTATAAAAATGTCAATTTTGCCCCCAATTTAGTCAATAAATTAAAAACAAAATCCCAGAAGAATTTTTACAAAATTTAACAAGCTGATTACAAAATTTTTCTGGAAAAGAAAATGTGCAAGGATAGCCAAGATATTATCGACAAATACTAGTAAGAGGAATTTGATTTGGCAGATATCAGGACACACTAGACACTCACAGTAATTAAAATAGTGCAGTATGAGGACAGTAAGAGAAAATAAAATTTGTTTAGACTATAGCAGTGGGTCTAGAAAGACTCATAAATATATGAGATCTAGTATTGATAAAGATGGCATATTTTAATTAGTGAGGAAAGGATTACCTGTATAATAAATTCTAATGGGGCAAGTAAAGAAATGTACCCTACATTACTCAATGCAGAGAGAGAGAGGGAGAGAAAGAGAGAGAGGTGAAATTAAAAATCAAAACAAGAATACAGCAGTGCAACATCTTTCAAATGTTAAAATAAAAAAAACCACTGTCAAAATTCTGCACCAACCAAAAATGACTTTCAAAAATGAAGACAAAATAAAAATATTTTCAGGCACACAAAAGTTGATTTTATCACCAGTAAAGCATATCTATAAAAATTCTAAAAGGGGGCCTCCCCTGGTGGCGCAGCGGTTGAGCGCTGGGCTGCGATGCTGCGCGCAGCCTCAGCACAACCAGTTCGATCCCCAGCCGCCGGGCGAGGGTCCCACATGGCGCCCAGACCTCCCTGCCGCCCGCTACTCCCCTCAGCAGTGTACTTCGTCACTCTGCCTGTTCTGCTCTGGCTCTGGTGAATTCTCTCACCCTCCCGTGCTTCTGACTGTACCCATTGCTTGTATTCATAAATAAATAAATCTTTAAAAAAAAATTCATTAGATACATTTCAAGAAAATTAAAAAAAAAATTCTAAAAGGATCCTTTCAGGGATCCTAAAAGTGTTAAATATGTGAATAAATCTAAAAGATTTCCTCCTCTAATTTTTTAAGGAAAAAATTTGATTTAATTTTTTATTTATTTATGCATACAAGAACTGGGGTAGAGGCCAGAGGTGTGGGGGGTAAGAGGATTCACCAGAGGCAGAGTGGGGAACAGAACAGGTGGATTGACTGAAATACACTGCTGAAGGGAGCAGCAGGGGAGACAGGAGTGGTCTGCTGCACCATGTGGGTCAACTCCCTGGCTGCGGATAGCTTCGTAGGCTACATCTTAACTCCTTGCGCCACCAGGGAGTCCGAAATTTCTTTTAAAAATAGTTGACTGTTGAGCCTTCCTGATGGCTCAGGGGTTAAAGTCTCAGCACTATCAAGCTATCCACAGCCATTGCAGCACAAGTTCAACCCTCAACCAGGGAGGTGACCCACATGGCACAGCAGACCTCTCCTGTCATGCCCGCTGCTCCCCTCAGCAGTATATTGTAGTAGATCTGCCTGTTCTGCTCCCCACTCTGTCTCTGGTGAAGCCTCTCACCCTCTGCGTCTCTGGCCTACACCCCAGTTATTCGATTCATAAATAAATAAAATAAATCTTTAAAAATAAAAAGTTGACTGAAGCCAAAGCAATAGCAAAGCAAAGGTATTATGGACATATAACACATGTGGGATAAAGACATAACAACAGCTCAAAGCCCAGGAGAAGGGAAATGGTAGTGCGCCATTAACCCTTATATACTCTAGGGAGAGTGGTATAATGTTAATTAAAGATAACTTGATAGATTATAGTTAAAGTAACCCCTAAAAATAAAAGATAGCTAGTATGCCAATAAAGGAAATAAAATTAAATTGTAAAAAATACTCAATGATTCCAAAATAATGCAGGACAAAATTAAAAAGGGAACAAATAACAGATGGAACAAACAACAAAAAAAAAAAAAAAACAGCAGGATGAAAGATTTAAACCC